TGTATACGAACAATCTTTAGTAGGCCTATACTATAATTATAGATCTATATAATATCCGAAATTTGCGAGAAAGGATGAGATTTCAGAGTGTTCGGAGAAATAGTGCCCAGCTTTATTTTCCCGAACGTTCGGAGAAATAGTGCCTAGCTTTATTTTCCCGAACGTTCGGAGAAATAGTGCCCAGCTTTATGTTCCCGAACGTTCGTAGAAATAGTGCCGGCCTATTTTTATTAGGACTAGGAAGTGCCTATTTGCAACGCCGGGTTGCAATTAGCACCAGTGCTAAATAAAACGGCTGTAGTTATTCGCACAGGATTCGCACAGGATGTGCGAATACTATGAAATTTTATTCGCACAGTGAAATTATATTCGCACAGGGTGTGTGAATACTGAATACTATGAAGTTATATTCGCACAGGGTGTTTCAAAAGAAGGATGGAAATAGGCCAACCATTTCCTCATTTTTTCCCCTCATCGCGCAAGGACAAAGATCATAGGGGCTGGATTGAACTTTGGTGGACCCGCCGTGTTTATATGTATTAATGCGCACTAGGCAAACAACGGACTTATACTTACAGTCATGGGTCCTAATCTAGACGGTCAGAGAGATAGTATAAGAACGTATAGGTCCTAATCGACCGCTACGCGAACGAGGCAGAGTGAGTGAGACTTGTTCCCGGCGACGCAAGGTGGAGTGAGTGAGGGCTGCGAGAATACCATGAGAGAGGGAGATAGAGAGAGAGAAGGGGGGACGAGACAAAGTTGTAAACGGACCTGTTATCCGAATCATTGAAGAGATGGAAGTCCGGAATATCTAGGCATCGGATGAGCAGGGTTGGGTTGATTTAAATCAGTTGATTTTTAAAATTTAAATCAAGTTGATTTTTAAAATAAAAATCAGTGATTTAAATCACTTTTTAAAAAATGTATTTTTATTCAGTTTTTACACATTTCAACATTCAGAATTCCTTTCCTTGGTTTCATAAAACAGATATAAGGTTTAGTAGACTAATATAATCATGCTTAAAAGTCTGCTTTCCCCCCTTTCACTGTAAAATAATACAGTATTCAATTTACTTTTTTTTCCATAATTGAAATCAGAGCTGGGTTGATTTAAATCAGTTGATTTTTAAAATTTTAATCAACTTGATTTTTAAAATAAAAATCAATGATTTAAATCACTTTTCAAAAAAATGTATTCACTTTTTACATATTTAAACATTCAGAATTCCTTTCCTTGGTTTTATTAAACGATATAAGGTTTAGTAGACTAATATAATCATGCTTAAAAGTCTTCTTTCCCCCCAGTCACTGTAAAATAATACAGTTCTCAATTTACTTTTTTTCATAATTGAAAACCAGGGTTGGATTGATTTAAATCAGTTGATTTTTTAAATATTTAAATCAACTTGATTTTAAAAGAACTCAGTGATTTAAATCACTTTAAAAAATGTATTATGTTTTTACATCTTTAAACATTCAGAATTCCTTTCCTTGGTTTTATAAAACAGATATAAGGTTTAGTAGACTAAAATAATCATGCTTAAAAGTCTGCTTCCCCCCTGTCACTGTAAGTAGTAAAATAATACTGTATTCAATTTACTTTTTTTTCATAACTGAAATTAGCATTTTCTTTTTCTTTTTAGACAAACACAAGCGCGCGCACACACACACACTGTAATAAAATGCAAGTTTATCTATGCATAATTACCCCCCCCCCCCTTCCTTTTAGACTGACATTTTCTTCATTTTTTGTTTGCAGCCATAACTCACTGATATAGCAGATTAAGGCTTTCTAAAATTGCAGTTGCTTAAATTAATCATTAGTTAAAATAAAGACAATGCATTTTGCACTAAAAGAACTTACTTTTAGCCTCCAAAAATCCCAAACTGTGTCGACATTTTTAAAAAAAATTTAAAAATCCGATTTAAATTTTTAAAAATCTGATTTAAATTTAAAAAATCGATTTTTTAAATTTTTATTTAAAAAATCAAAAAAATCACCAACCCTGCGGATGAGGACGTTTACCATAGGAACAGGCGCAGGGTTCTCACTATTATATTAGTATTACTTGAGGTAAGATTGAAGAATACCGGACCAGCGGACTGACTTTGCCTATGTCTCAACCTTAGGAATTTATGATTTTCCCGTTTTTAATGTCTCTCAATGGAGAATCTCGGACCGGTAGATCTATTCATTAGTCGTTAAAATTTTGTCAGGGGGGAGACCCCCCTGAACCCCCCCCCCCCTCCCCCCTCCTCCACCCCAACCACCCGCCGCACTTTCTCGTGCAATAATGTACAAGTGGTCCGGTATTCTTCAATCTTCCCTTACTTGATCCCATCCGCTGTTTCTTCTTAGGGGGAGGCAGTGGAGGGAGATCAGAAGTGGAGGATTGACCAGCAGGTTCCTGATTTTCTTGATTAGGATCTACATGTCGTGGCTTATTTTTGCTCCCTTTTTCCTTTTTCTTTTGAGGGAGAGGGGCGGAGGGGGGACCAAAAGGGGAGGAAGGACCACAGGATCCTGGGGTTTCGGAATTAGAACGAAAACACCATTTTAAAAATTACTTGAATCCCCAAAATTTTTGGGGGGCCCCCCCTCCTCACACTTAGTTATTAGAATCTTTAAAGATCTATTTTCCCACATTCCGGGGGGGGGGGGGGGGGGGGGGGAGCTGCCACATGCAAATCAATTATAATAAACAGAGAAAATTGGACCAGGAACATTTTATAGTTTGCTCTGCCCAAGAACTTTACTATAGTGGATCCACATTGCCAGCCTAGGCTAGACCTAAGAGTTACCATGAGACTAATGAGAGACGATAGAGGCGCGGGTGAAGTTTACCAGACCAGTGAAAAGAAGGGGAGACATGGTGGAGGTATCTAGATTCGTTTCTAACGTGTACTGTAGGCTCTCTTCTCAATTAAGTTCAGACTTTTCTTCTCTTCGCTTACTTGGGCCAAGACTTGACTGTAGCCTAGATTCTAGAAGAAAAGGAGAATCGGGAAGGATTTTTACCTGTCCTGTACCGTGGTCTCCAAAATCCGTGTTAGATCTAGATCTAATGTACATGATGAATAACAAGCAAGCATAGAATGACCAAATTCCTTTCTTTAAAAAAAAAATTCTTCCACTCACACCAGAATCTACACTCTTAAATATCTAGATCTACATTAGATAAAGAAAAATACATGTACACTGGGAATAATTTCTTGGCCTCATCCCAGTGACAGTAGGAACAATCAATTCTGGCCTTATTCCCAGTGCTTTCCAAAATTAAAACCCTTTGCCTAAAACTAAAGGTGGGATACCTGGGTGTGACAAATGAGGTCCAAAATCAACTTTATGTGGTAACTCTGTAGTAATACATCATATTATTTATGGCCGAATGATTGCAGTTTTATTTTTAAGGACTGTTCACAAATGACCCCACCCCTCTTGTCATCTTTCCCAGGACAACCCCCCCTCCCCCCCCTCCTCAAGTTGCCGTCAACCAAAATGTACACATGTGTACATTTAGATAGAACCTGTACAGGGTGCATTTGCACCTTTGATCTTTTTTTTA